TAGTTCTACCATATCTTAGGAACGGCCAAGGCTCTACCCCCTCTTAAACCAAGTGGTGAGTTCCAGTCGGTGACAGAAAACTAGCCAAACCTAAATTCTGGGTGGCCAATAGGACAGAGCCAAGAATCCGAACTAGTGATGGAAGTGGACGTCCCATCCTCGGCTCCTCACAGATCCATTTTCGATTTCAAAGAACCTACCCCTGCTATAAGTTCCAACCCATTCACCCCAGCCTCGGCTCACCAATCCATTTTCGAGTTTAAGAAAGTCAGTACTTCAGCTTTTGCCCTGACCTCGGCTCATCAGGCATCAATGTTCGATTTTCAGCACGTGTGCACTTCAACGAATGTGCCGCCTGTTTCCCCATCCTCGGCTCATCAGCCATCGATTTTCGATTTCCAGAAGCCTGGCAGATCTCCACCAGCCTCGGCTCGTCAGGCATCGATTTTTGATTTTCAGCAAGTGGACACTTCAACGAATGTGCCGCCTGTTCCCCCGTCCTCGGCTCGTCAGCCATCCATTTTCAATTTCCAAAAGCCTAACAACCCTGCACCAGCCTCGGCTAATAAAGGATCCCCTTTCGATTTTGAAGTCCATCGTTCATTTACCCCGGCCTCGGCTGTTCAGCCTTCCATTGATTTTCAAACACCTGGCACGTCTGCTCCAGCTCCTGCCTCTGACAAACCAGGCATGTCTTCCCCTGGCGCCTCAAGGTCCAATAGTACTCTGGGATCACGGAAGTATCTGACGAAATCACAAGAGGCCAAATTACAACTCCAGGGCCAAGGAGGAGCTGCCATTCTGCCAACTCGGCCAGGCGATGCCTTCGTTTTCGGCCTGGCTCCTGTCTTCGTCTACACTCAAGAGAGGACAACACCACGCCCACCACCTTCGACCGAATTGTTGGACTTGGATCCAAACTCCCCACGTGCAAGGGGTTTATGTCGCAAGTACAATATCAAGGTTGTGTCTGATGACAGCATTGGTGATCGCACGGGCGTGGTAGCCGAGGTCGTTCAGGCAATTGGCAAAGTGTGGGAAAGAGCTATGGACCCCGAGGCTTCATCCGACCCTTCGATTAGGAATTTGCAGGCCGCCTTTGATAAATTGTTGATGAGGGGAGATGAGTTTACCGAGATGGATCGTATGGACCTGGTTCGTCATAGCGAAATTCACCAGGAGGCGCTCAGATCCCTGCCCGACAGCATAGCGACAACGAGCCATTATCGGTATGTTTTGGCCACCTTGAGGAGGGAGAAAGACCGGTTGCATGAACAAATCGATTCAGACCGTGATCTGGTTGCAGCAATGGACGCTACTTTAGAAGGACTATGGCCATTCATCCCAGACGAGATCCCAGACAAGGGGAAGGGGAGGGACAAAAGGGATGGACCAGGGTTTAAGTAGAAGATTAGATCACAAGACCGAGGTTGGTTCGCTATGTAGTTTGCACCCGGGCACGGTTGAAGATACCCGCTGCCGGATAGTGCTCACATTTAATTGGTCGTAAGACAAGCCTCCCGGCTCAATTAGTCAAACGAACAACTTTTCAACCCTTGCCTTTCATGATAGGAAAACATGATGAACTACGAAGTGACACTGCTGAAACCGGACACAGACTAACATCATTGAACATGCTATGTATTTCGCACCCGGGCATGAATGACTAACATCATTAAACATGATAGGTTCAACTGACAAATGAAACTTTCTTGGACCGGGTGGAACGAACACTTTCTTCAGCAATCTTTTTCGACCGTTCTCGGGTTACTATACCGAGTTCCCCTGTAGAAACCTTGCCTTTCATGATAGGACACGGTTTTGGTTTGGGCTTGGTGGGGACATCAATAGATGGTTGCTGACTGGGACAGGCCTCTGACTCCTTTTGTTTTGAAGGGACTGGTCGTTTTGCGTTGACACCACTTGACTTAGTGAAATCAAAGCTATTCGAAGCTTTGGTTGTGTCCGACCTCAGATTGGTTGCTTGAGCTGGTTTGACAGTCGCTTGGATAACAGCTGAGGCAGCTTGGCATTTGACTTTGCCTGGTCGGGCACTCCTCAGGCCAAGTTTGTACCCCTTCTCTAACTGAGGAAACTTGCAGGGTGTATCCTCCTCATCAGTGAATTTTCTCTTCTTCGCTCGATCGGCCGACTCCACCCCACAGCCCAGGTCAGCTTCCCAAAATGTATCATCAGTCAAGACCTCAGTGTCCGATGGTACTTCATGGGAGAGAGCCCGGGTGTCGTTGTACCAAGGCTGAAGCTCGGGGCTGGTATCTACAGTGATCGTAGCATCGTCTGAGCCCAAATCTGATCCCGAGTCTCTATCCTCTTCCAAGGTCGGGTTGACCCTGCTAGGTTTCACTGTGGGCTCGGTCAGAGTATCCTGCTTTGGCCTCTCTTGACCATTATCGGAGTCTGAGTCACTATCATCGGAGCCATCCTCACGATGTTCGTCATGCTGTTTGGTTAGTTTCTTGGTTGGTTTCTCCACGTCCAAGTCTTCTCCATCATCATCGGAGCCATCCCGATCAGGAGTCCAGTCATCCTTAGAAAACTGTTCGGTTCGTTTCTATGAAAACAGAAACCGGCTGATTTTCTATGTTCCAATTCTGAGAGTGAAGATGATCTTGAGTCGGACACAGCCAATGATGAAGAGGATGTGGATGACGATGCAGAAAAAATGAATGTGGATATTCCAGAAGATGGCGACACCGTTCTAAGCCTGAAAACCACGAAAAGACCTTCATGCAACTTTCTTGATGGTCACGTGGAAAGCACGTCTCATTTTCTAAGAGTACGTAAACCGACACATCGAGTCATGCCTGTAATGATTGGACCAGCATTACCTTGGCGAAATGTTGAAGGCCATGCTGCGCAATATAGCAGAATAATGTTATTATTATTCAAGCCTTGGCGACACGCAGTGGATTTAAAAAATGCAGACGAGAGTTGGGAATCAGCCTTTCAAAGATTCTTGGACTCGCCGGAATGTGACTATCAAGTCCGGGATATTCTGAATAACATGCAACTCATGTAAAGATAGTCGAGACTCTCATATGAAAAATAGAAATAGGAAGACTAATGGAATTGTAACATCAGAGATGCTAAACACAAGTCGAATAGCACAAGAAGATGATCTCAATGATACGCTTCACGAAAATGCAATTCACGATTTGTTAGCTATGGTAGCCGATAAAAACTCAGAAAAAATTTCGCGGTCAATGGAAAAGGTAAACAGCATTTTAACACATTTGGAAACTAGTGGCTTGTGCTATACGCCCAAAGCGTTTTCTGCGTCTCCAGAGGATGGTATTATCGAACTTGTAGGTGAAACTGATACAGCACATACTTGTAGGTTTATGGGGAACTGGCTAAAGGATTCACATGACTTTACATATTGATTGCTGTTGCCACATCATCAGCTTTTCACATCATGCCCAAGTTGGCTTTCAAGCCAGAAAAAGCCATTCATAGTAATATCTACTGTTCTGTCTCAATACATTGTTAACTTACATCATGACCTGACATAAGGATACTTCCAGGGACCAATCAGCTCATCCTATTGCCCTGAAAGAGCTGATATCACAGTTGACTAGGTTTGGGACAGGCAAGTAGCTATCAATGTGAAAGCAGACAGATCAGCAACTATCAATGTGAAATCAGAGAATAGCCTGTCCTGATGTGAAAGGCAACTTGGGTATGATGTCAAAAACTAATCATTTGGCAGTAGTAATATGTAAAGCAATTTAATCCTTCAAACCATATCCACATGGACCTAGAACCATGATTTGAGATAGGACAGTAGCTATCAATATGAAGGCATAGAATAGCCTTTCTTGATGTGAAAGACAATTTGTACATGATGTCAAAAGTAAATGCTGCAGCAATAGCAATATGTAAAATCATGTCAATCCTTTAACCTCATCCCCATAACCTATACAGAGTCAAGGACACTATAAACTATATGTCAACTACAAACTTTTGTAGCCTCAAAAAGCAGACACTACAAACTTTTCTAATGAAAAAGCGGACACTACAAACTTTTGAAAACCGGACACTACAAACTTTTCTAATGAAAAGGCACACACTACAAACTTTTGTAGTCTAAAAAAGCGGACAATATAAACTTTTCTAATGAAAAAGTGGACACTACAAAACCTTTTAATGTAACCCTAGTTTTGTAGTCTAAGTCCAAACTTTTGTAGTCTAAGTCTGACTTTTGTAGTCTTTTGTGGTCTATCAGTAAACTTTGTAGCCTATGTCCAACTTTTTGTAGTCTATCAGTAAACTTGGTAGTCTATATCTGACTCTTGTAGTCTGTCAGTGTTGATTGCTCTTTTAGGGAATGCACCTTCCTTTTTTGGTCAATTTTCCCACGATATGATATTTGTTGCCCTTTCATCTAGCTTTCTAAATGTGTTGGAATCATGTTATTTGGTTTTGTTTTCATGAAGAAAAATGCAAAAAACCAAAAGAAAACATGACGCTTTTGGAATTCCTTTACCTCATATCTCCACAACAGGAGCACTTCAGAACATAATTCAACCAGATTCGGGAAGCTACAGTGCAGGGGTACAACTTTCGCTTTTTGACTATTTTTGGTAATTGGTCATGTGACCACCCTCCCAACAACCCATGTGATACATATCATCATTATTATATAGTTTTCGGTAATGAAAGTGCCAAAGGGCCTAATGAAATATCCTAATGAAAAATCTAAGAAATAGTAATGAAAGTGCCAGGGTGCCTAATGAGAAGTGATTAAGTGACACCAGCCTCCTGTGTAGTTTCCGATGGTGAGCAACAAGTCAAAAGACTCCATATACCCCTTTAGATCTCGGTGATCAATCATCTCTCGGTTCAGGATGACTGAAAGACCGGTGAAGGGAGTGGCCCAAACACGAAGAGCAATATTGATAGGATCGTCCAATGCCTCGGCATGATTGGCAAGCTTCTTGAAGGTGGCTAAACCGGACTCAAAAAGATCGGGTTGTATGACGGCATAGATTGCGCCAACAATTGCATTGGCCAATAGGACATTCTGGAGGTAGGTTGAATTGGCAGGTTCCTGAATATCGGCTGACGTGTGCAGTGGATCCTCGGGACCTTCATGTCCTTGAGAAAACCAGCTGGGTGATAAATTTACAATCCCAGTGACCCCTTCATTCTCGGGGTGGTGATCCCGCCAAGTCCCATTACTTCTCTTTTTGGGGCTCAAAGAACCTGTGTGATCCCAAATAAATGTCTAGTAAAGTGAGGAAAGTCTAAGGGTGTAATGAAGTGAAAGTAATTACCCGAAGCTGTTCTGAGAACATTTCAGGAAAGTACCAAAGTAAAATGTGACCCTGCCGGTCGGTTATATGGCACGGTTGATCGAGGTAGGGGATATCGGACCCGGCTGTTTCGTAGATCGGTGGGAATCGTGCCAAGAGTTTCTTCTCCAACTCCTCATTGCTTCCACTCTGTCTCGGTGACAAGTCTGCAGCATAGTCCCAGACGTCCCAAGTAGTCGTATCTGTCCAAAACTTAGTGAAGATCGGCCGGCTAGAAGTGAGACATACATGAAGATTTGAATGCTTCTTCAAGCATGTGAATTACCCTTTCAACAGATGCTTGGGCCTCCGGCTCCAACCATGGTGGTGGAGCAGGACAAGGAACGCTTGGGCTATGTAAAGACCGCAACCGGCCTCTGAAGTATCGAGCTAGATCCCTTGTATATTGAAAGAAATCAGGGGCAGTCATGAACAAAAAAAAGGATTTTTGACACTTTTAACTGGCAAAACATGAGGCTCGGGCATGGATTTATTTATTACGTAGAACAGGGACGTCTGTCAACATGTCAGGGTCATAACTGCCATTAGGATAGGATCGTGGTCTTTCCTGTCTGGTTGCACCTGGCCTTTCAGATCAGTTCTGCTCATCCGGGCTTTCAAACAAGGCTCAACATGAATTTTTTTTTTAAGTAAAAAGATACAGGTGGTAATGGTATGACATATTAAGAGACCTGTGTTACGCCACATGCCCTTTCATAATAGGTGAAATGGGGGTTTGGATAGAGTAAAAAGGACGTATGGTAAGGTAACCCTCTCGCCGTCGTCATCAATGATGGTCAAGAGTATTGTCCCCTAATCACCATGTTAGTGGGAAAACAGAAGTACAAAGGGGATTGCTCACGTCTGGCAACCTGCCAGTGGAGTCTACGGTTGCAAACATGAGGCCACCGCTACACATATTATACCAGACTCGGGTTCCTTTCTGACGAATCATCAGCTAGTTACGACCAATGGAGATGTACAGAACCTACGGGGTAGGGGTTGGGTGGAGGGATACCCAACAGACTCCAGATTGTCATGGGTGAAGTTATTCATGTCGCAGATGAGGGGGGTGAAGATGGGTCCTTGAAATGTGAGAGGGTTTTTAAAGGGGGAAACACAGATGTTTTCAGGTTAAATTACAACCCTCGATGCAACCCTATATCAGAAGCATAAATGATGGCGGCACAGGCCTTGAGGCCAAATTGCAAAAAAGAGTTGAAAGAGTCATAAACATAAGCATGGCTGGGGATTGAACCCGGAAGCTGGGGATTGAACCCAGAAGCCAACTACCATTAGACCATGCTGGCTTCCAAAGATTGTTGGTAAATCTGGGATAAGGGGTGAATTCTTGATTTTGTACTCCAATTGGTCTCATGTCCGGGCCCAGCTTGAACTGTAGTTTAAATGCCGAACAAGTCAGTGCTGAGTTTATAGGACCAGGTTCAATCGCACCCGAACAAGTATTCGACATGGTCATCAGCTAAGTTACATTTTTTTGCCGGACTTGGCCAGGCACTGGGTTGTCTTATACACCGGGTTCACCCCCTGAACAAGTCACTGCGCAGAATTTGTCCTTTTAACTGCTGCTATTATAGTGACATGGTCGGCAGGTAAAAGATACTGACCGACATTGTCTTCAACGTTGGCTTGGCCTAGTAGTTAAGCTGGGAGGCATACATAGTATATGTATGTATGCCCTGGGTTCAAATCCCGAACAAGTCATAGATTCGCGTTTTGAAAAGTTTTTTACTTACTGCAGGTAAAAGATACTGACTGACCTATGTATGCCGGTTTAAATCCTAAACAAATTTTTTACTTGCTACTATTAGAATGACATGGTCAGCAGTTAAAAGATACCGACCAACATCGTCTTCCACCGTTGGCTTGGCTTAGTGGTTAAGCTGGAGGTGTACAGAGTGTATGTATGCCTGGGTTCGAATCCCAGAAGTCACTTGCAGCGATCGCAACTCTTTCATTTTTGTAACTCTGGCTAAAATTTACTAATCAATTCTTACCGAGCTTGCAGACCCAGGTTAGTTGTCTTACGCTGGGTAAGTTACAAAGTGCCGAGCTTTCAGGCCAGGTGGATCATTGACTTGGCTCAGTGGTCAAGGTGGGAGGTGTACACATTGTATCTATGTAGGCAGGTAAAAGATACTGGCTGTGATTGTCTTCCAACGTTGGCTTGGCTTCGTGGTTATGCTGGGAGGGTACGTCGTGTATGTATGCCCTGGGTTCGAATCCCACAAGTTAGTTACACTTATCGCAACTCTTGTTAAAATTTACTAATCAATGCTGGTTTGACCAATGTTGTCTCGGATCATGAAAATTTGAACTGCAAGTTCTGCCTGGTCTGCCTCTGCTTGGCTGCTAAATTAAAGGCCAAGCTGAAAACGATTTGGCTTGAAAATGCCGGCCTCGGTGATGCATCGGCTGATGAGATGTTCATAAATTCTCATGTCCAGCCGACTCGGTGATATCCATGAACCATGACTACCATGTGGGTCTCGCCAGCTGACCCTGGTAACCAGAGTTGAGGGCCCTCGGCCAACCACCAACCCAGGCAAATTCAAAATGTCTGCCGACCTTGCATAGCCTAGCTGCTCATCAGAAGTGAAGGCCCTCAGCGGATCACCAACCCAGCAACGTTCACAACTGTCAGCCGACCTTGCATAGCTTATCTTCCATCAGCCGATAAACAAATACAATGTTCAAAACTGTCAGCCGACTGTGCATAGCTTAGCTATCAGCCGATATACAAATACAGGGACTTGACTTCCTGGGGCAGCTTCCTACTGATCGGTGTATGCTAAATCTACGTAGCTGGCCGACCCTTCTTTACCTTGATAGTGGGATCACATTGGCCAATTCATCAACACAGGGTTATTGGCCCTCATCGGCCCATCAGCAGGCACCATCAACTATGGCCTGTTTGTATTGTTGGGCCTCTCAGTGTTGGTGGGTGATTCCTACTAACTGCCCTGAGGAATTGACTCAGGCACGCATCATGGTTTTCAAATTATGAAGCGACACTTGAAAGTAAGGATCGCGGACCCATGTAGATACTAATTGAAGGGATGAGCACAGTGTGGATTTCAAATTACGAGGCAGTGAATGGACTCACAATTACATTGTTGTACCATTATCCTGCATGAGCGAAAGAGGTGCCGGCCTAGAGGTCTTTATCATGCCCCACTGATTCCTGCCAGATTCCGGTCATTCCTGTGGAATCCGGCGGAATCCAGAGGAATCAAATTTGGCAGAGACACCAGCCTAACAGCAATGTCCCCCTCCAATGCCAAACCATACTATAAAGAATACTTCCGCGAAGGGGATCATGAATACGAGGCCACTGATGCGGTATGCTGGGATGTGACGAACTGTCATGTTCGGTCTGGGGAGGTCATGAGTGAAGCGGGTATCAACACGTATATGGAGCACCCAGACAGCCAGGATCTGAGTCACTGGTGGGTAATCACAATGCCCAATGGTGGCTACATTCCCACTGCCCCCATCGGCATACAAACCATTCAAGCAAGAGCAGACAGACGTTTTGGCTTGGATGACCACACTCAACATCCACAGATGTACATCAAGGGTTTCAAGTACATTTGCTGTATTCCCAAGTGTGAGCACTCACAATGCATGCTATGGTGGACTCCTACTCTGGAGGATTGTCCTGAAGTTCCCAATGGCCCCTGAGGTCTTATCAGTGCCCCCCCTCTTCCTGCAGGATTCCAGTCATTCCTGTGGAATGAAATTTAGCAGTAAGCCCTGCTAAATTTGTCATTCCTGTGTTTTCTCATTCCGGAATTTACACTGGAATGTTCCCCGGAATGGTCTTCCCCAGAATGGGCAGGAATAGCATTCCCCGGAATGTGCAGGAACTGTAATCTGGTTATTTTATTGTTTTGTTATGTATTATAGTTTATTTATTTTCAATGGATAACAAACAATGCTTGTTTGGCAAACACTGCTCACCAAACACAGCCACCCTCTCCTTCCACCACCACCACCATGCTCATCACCACTGCCAACGCCACACTGTCACCGTCACCCCTAGCCACCACCACCCATGTCACCCTTCTATCACCCATGACCACGACAGGTCACACCCCACCCCCAAAAACTCCCCACCATCCATGAAACGGCCATAGCATGCAGAAAAACACCCTGGTGCCCACAAAACCCACACACCACCCACAAAAATGTCCTAGCGCCCACCGAAAACCACCTGTGCCCACCAAAAACATTCAGTGCCCACTGAAAAACGCCCAGCGCCAAACTATATGAGATTTTCTTTTTGGGATGAACCCTAAAGTACACCCTGAAGATTGTGCCTGATAGTTTCCTGGAATCCTGAGGACTTAACAAAATTATAGTGTAGTCCTGCAGGAATCCTCTGGAATCCCCAGGAACCCTCTTAGTCCTGCAGGACTCTGTGGGGGACTGAGAAGTACTGGATTCCAGCAGTACTTTACAGTGCCCCACCTATTCCTGCAGGAATGGGGTCATTCCAGTGGAATTCCAGGGGAATCCTGCAGGAATAGAGTCATTCCAGTGGAATTCCACAGGAATTCCAGAGGAATAGGACTGGAATCAAGCAGAGTAAGTTTTTTTCAACTCCAACCTTATCCTGATGACTTGGCACTCATATTTCCTTATAAAATTCACATGTAGAAGTCATAGATTGAGTTGTAATGTATTTGAAATGTATTACTACACACATTACACAGTTTATCTTAAAGGGAGGGGGGAGGGACAAGGTGGGGATGTATTTGAAATGTATTACTACACACACTACACAGTTTATCTTAAAGGGAGGGGGTAGGGGAGGGACAAGGTGGGGGTGTATTTATATTTTTGGGAGGGACAAGGAAGGGGGAAGAACAAGGGAGGGGAGGGAGGAAGGGGGAAGGACAAGAAAGAGGGAAGGAAGGAAGGGGGAGGGACAAGGAAGGGGGAGGGACAAGGAAGGGGGAGGGAGGAAAGGGGGGAGGGAGGAAAGGGGGGAGGGAGGAAAGGGGGGAGGGAATGGTGGAGCAAGGGGGAAGGGAGTAAGGGGGAGGGACAAGGAAAGGGGGAAGGAGGAAGGGAGGGAGGGAATGGTGGAGGGGAGAGTGTGGCTGGGACCTCGGCCATCGTCATCCCGCGTTGGTGTCCCATCGTTGTGTCGCATTTTGTTGTCGCCTCCTCGTCCGTTTTTGTCATGTGTCCGTGTTTTTGCGTTATTCGTGGGCGTTGTCGACGCCGTCGTCGTGGGAGCTGGTTGCCATTGGGGGCGTCGTCGTGGGTGGCGTTGGTGTGGACGTGGTGGTTTTGGTAGGCGGCGTGGTGCCGTCATGTGTCGTGTGGGCGGTGCGTGTTTTTTGGTGGGCGGTGCGTGTTTTTTGGTGGGCGCTTGTGTTTTTTGGTGGGCGCTCGTGTTTTTTGGTGGGCGCTCGTGTTTTTTGGTGAGCGCTCGTGTTTTTTGGTGGGCGCTCGTGTTTTTTGGTGGGTGGTGGGATGTTTTTGTGGGCGGGGTATGGTTTTTGTGGGCGCTGGTGGTGTACATGGGCAGTGGGCGTCGTTTTGTGCCCGTCGGGTGTTGTTTTGTGTCCAGGGGCATTGTTTTCGTGGGCGTTGGGTGTTTTCGTGGGTTACGGCGCTCGTTGTTTTGTGATGTGGCATCGCTGCATTGTTGTTGAAGGGTGTCATGGTCGATGTTGGTGGTCGTGGTGGCCATGGGTGATCGAGGAGCGACGTTGGCAGTGGTGGCTATGGGTGACGGTGATGGCGTGGCGTTGGCGGCGGTGACAAGCATGGTGGTGGTGGTGGAAGAAGAGGGTGGCCATGTTTGGTGAGCATGTTCACCAAACAAACATTATTTGTGATCCATTGAAAATAAATAAACTATAATACAGTTACAAATAAATAAAATAAACAGATTGGACTGGAATCCCATTCCTGCCCACTCCGGGGAACACCATTCCTGCCCATTCCGGGGAAGACCATTCCGGGGAACATTCTGGTGTACATTCTGGAATCCACCGGAATGGAAAACACCAGAATAAACAATTTAGCAGGGCCTTCTGCTAAATTCCATTCCACCGGAATTCCACTGGAATGACTGGATTCCTGCAGGAATAGGGGGGGCACTGCTAAGACCTCAATTCCAGTCACGTTTCAATAGTCGCCATTTGAATGCTTTTCACACCACTTCGATGGTTTCTGGTTTCCAAATATGCACGATCATCTCTTTCTAAGTCCTGTAATAGGACAATTGTACCCCTGGCTACTGACCTTGAGTGACCAACATCAGGCCAGAGGTGCTTGAAGTGGTCCTTCCAATCCTTGTCTTCCCCAACTTCAACTAGACAGGTGTTCCACACTGTGGCAAGGGTTGGGTTGTGGAAGGTGTCTGCTGTCACAGATAGTTTCTGTGCATGGGTGAGATGACAATAAGACATATTCATTTGGTCTTTAGAATTTGGTGACTTCAGGATGGTATCTGAAAAAAACTGACACCAAAGGTCAGACATCCACTTATGAAGTATCTCTAGCATTTGGAGGAGGGAGAGCGGGAGTCTCAATGAGAGCTTATATCTTGCTCTTTGAAAACATCACCTAGTACAATCATATTTAACAACTGAATGATGATCATCCTGAATTGTCTTACAAATCTCAGCTTGGCATAGCCATTGCTAAATTGATAGCTGATGGACCCCAAGAAAGTCTTCCATTGAACAGTCACCATGATCTGAGTTTTCACTGCCTTTGTCATGGGTTCAGGCAACAACATTAGAAAAGGCAATCTGGTTAGCAGTGAGATCGCTCACCATAGTGTTATCTGAGGTCAGAATTTGGGGAATGGTGCGAAATCATCAGTCTGTACGTAATCATCATGATTCAATATATCCATAGGTAGTAAGACTTTATATATGGTCTCACCACAAATATTAGTTTGGTTGCAAAAGATGTACAAAGATGGACTAATTTGACTAACATTACCTGTCACAGTGAAAAGGAGTTCGGCCTTTTCAAGAAACTGGGACTCCAGCAAAGAATGACTCAGAAGAGCTACTTTCTGCCCTCAACTGTCATTCTCCTCATTCAAGTATGAGATAGAAGGTGCCCACAGCATCAAGCTAATGGCAATGTGAAGATTCATCACAGAATATTTTGGAGAGCTGCATATTGAGGCTGGCACAGACCTGAACAACTTGCAATGATGAGACATGACTTGAAGATTTAATGAAGAGCTTAATATATGTTCGAAACTACAATGCTTAACTGCAACAACATATGACATTATGGTGATACCATGAGTACTTCAGGAGGCATGGCTCTAGTAGCAAGTTGACATGCCCCAATACCTCTGGTTGAACATGCCCCAAATACACAGCTCTGGCAAATTTGGGAGTACATTCTCATTCATGATATAATCAAAATAAATGTCTTTCTGCTGTTGGGGTGTCAGACAGCTGGAGAGGAAGCTGTGAACTTGCTGCATTCTCAGAAATCCTCTGATGGTGATGAGGGCAAACTGAAAATCATAGTGGTTCAATGTTGGTCAATGCAAAGCTACAACAGAACAGATCGGTTCTGGCACTGTGGTTGTGAGGATGGCATTCACACCCAATAAGCCCAGAATATCATTCATGAGTGGATTACCACCAAAATGTAGTAGAGTGTCCTCAAAGCCATGTAATAAAGATAGGAATAACGGTTCCTTGTGTTAACAAGCATACCACAAGAACGAAGGACTTGCCTCAAATTCAGGTAGATTGTCAGAATGCACCAAAATAGACTTAGGTTTCAACACCATTGCCTCTGAATACCATGAAAACTCTGCCAAGACAGTCGAGTAGAGGCACTGCAGAGACGTCGCTGTAATTCATGAGGCTTAGTGAAGCAGTTGGAAATGGATACCTTCCCGTAAGGATCTGAAGTAGATGAGAGACTTGGTAAAGAGAAGTTGCTCTGTGGAATTATTAAATGACCAATCAGCAAGTAAAATAAAAATAATTACCAAAACAATTTGAAGGAGTGGCTATCTTGAGCAATAGATATTGTATAGAGCTATGTACAACTAAGAGAGTTTGAATCTATTAAACTATGTCTTACTTCAGCCAATTGGGCTAAGCTATAGACATATTTGTAGTGATACATATTTGTAAGTGCATCTACCACAAACTACATTTCAGGAGGCTCTTGATGGTGCTACCAGCGCTATCACGTCTACATACCACAACATTGCAACTCCATTTTTTTCTGATGAAGGACCTCTTAGCCCATACTGTAGCTACTTGCTTGTTGTTATAGGCTATGTTCTTGAATTCTTTCTTTAAACTAATACTTACCCATGGTCAAACTGTAAGACCTGTGAGACCCACCAAAGCCGCCCAAACCTGTACCTCTACCTGTGGTTGAGGTAGGGGTTTCTGTGGGTACTGAAAGGTATCTAAGACTGAGGGTGTGAAGTGGGACTCAGATGAGCTTGAAGGGCTTGAGACCTGAGACCACATGGCATTGAAGATAAGAAATATTTTCCTTCTGCCTTAACTCTCACCATTCTCTTAAACTTTTTGTAGTTCACTATTTTCTATCCTCAGCCTTCCAGCAAACCTATTTAATGGTGCAGAATTGAATGAGTAAATGAGTATACAAGCCAGGTGTTGAATATGAGGCTGTGGATATGTTGCAGTTGCAGTGCATTTTCTTCAAGTTGGCTCCTTCCCTTTGACCTTTCATTCCTTCCCTTTTGCTTTTCCTAGTCTCACTTTATAGCCTTGCCTGAAAGCTGATCTGTCAACTCTTTCATGCCTGAGATTTCAGAGGTTCTTGTCTGGGAACGGCTTTTGAACAGAAAAAGATCCAAAAAGCGTCTTTGTATGTTGATCTATCTATCTAGCTGAACATTGACCTAAGAATAACACAAATACTAGTTTGCCTGCTCATTTCACCCCTTGGATTTTCCATTGGATCTGAAAAACAATGTTATACCACTCTCACTGCCACAAAAGGTAGTTATACTAGCACCATACTAACAAAGGCAGCACTCCCCCTCCCCACTTGGGTCTCAGCTCAAAGGAAACACTATGCGCCTTGGCCCCCAAAGCTTGGAGGGACAGGGTGGTCAATGAGAATTGGGATTATCTTCTGGAAGAGACTCCACCAGGAAAACTCATTTATGTCTGGAGAGGAAAGGTGCTCATTGTTGCATGTGGACATGTAAGTTTTGTTTTCTTCCCCAATCCATGAAACTGAGCAATTGAAATGTCACATGTAGTATGCAATGGTCATCACCCAGGTCCAAACAAGGACAAGGAAAAGGCCTTGAAAAAGAGAACCTTTCTCATTCCTGACAGATTAATTGTCAAGAACTCATTAGAAACCTACCTCTGGACAATCTGCATTCTGGCAGCATTTGTGTCCCAGGAGTCTGTTTTTGTCCTCTGTGACTTTTGTGGCCTTGCATGCATGCATGTCAAGAGCATATGAATAGCTTCAATTTTGTCAGTAAACATACACTCCTTGAAGTTTCCTGGTCAAGTCATGGTATCTGTTGTTTCAGAAATTTAAAGGTGGTCCAGATTGGATCATCGAGCAAGAGCTTGCTGCAAAAGCACTCAAAAGCTGGAGAAACAACATGATAAAAGAACATGAACAGTACCAGGATGAGCTGAAGGATATAAACAGTATGCAAAATCATCTAATTTGAATTGAACACTTTATATATTTCAGGATGGAGGTGATGCCAGCACCAGCACCAGCACCACCACCCCTATGTCCAATGATCATAGAGATCTGCATCAACTCAGGTGTGACCTTCACCAGACTGGTGTGCCATCTCGCAAATGATGTCTGCTACAATCTCGGTGTACACCCTGCGACTCCTGTGATTCATATCTGTGAAGATGAGACAAGGTTTTCTGATCTTTTGAAAGGCATTCCAGATTACCTTGACTGGTTTGTCCAAGAAGAATACTACAAGCCAATGGCAGCAAGCTGTGGTGTAGACCAGGAAAACCCATTTGAGTTCAATGAGGACTCTAATTGGAAATATTTACATCCATTCATTGATGTCTTCCAGCATTGCAGTGTGCAGGTTCCTAAAGACCTATACCTCAAGTATTTAGAGGAGGGCCTTCTAGATCAAAGCCACACCATTGGTGAGCTATTATTTTCAAATGCCATATCAAAACTTGATTGTTTCACTTTTATATAGGCCAGCCCCATGATTTAAAAGATCTGGAAATTTTTTTGAGAAGTAATGCTTCACATGGCCTAATACACCCTCACAATATCAGTAAGATATCTCAGCAACTCATAATTCATCTCTCACAAAATATTTTCTGCAGAGAAGAGTCCAACAGTCAATTTTTATTGCATTGGCCACCCTCTCAAAGCATTTCCCATCATTTGTGCAAAGTTACCTCAGAGCTGGATAGTGTCATCAACATCACTTGTGTGTCAACAATTTTTATTTTCCTTTAAACAGCACTGATTCCATTCTTCAGACCATATTAGCTGTACAAACTGTCCTTGCTATCCCTAATTATAAAACAACAGTTGGCCCTGATCAGTTCCACGAACTTACTCTGAATCAGATTTTGGAACCAACTGTTGATCATAGTGGTGGTCATCCTGCTAAGGTACATTGATCTTGGTTTCTACAACATATGGTATATTTATAGTATTTGAATTTTGTTTTCTAGAGGCATTGAGATGGACCGGAGGCCTAGGAATTCAAAATGTACCCACAAAAGTGTAAAGAACTCTGCGCCTCAAATCAGGACATAGGTCATTGTATCTAATGAGCGTGATGGTGTGCTGAGTGATGGTGATGGTGACAATGATGATCATTATAATGATGGTGATGCAGACCAGTATGGGGATGCCAAGGCTGCTCTGGAAACACCATGGAGGTCGAGTCTCCCCAAGTATGTCATGGAGGATCTTTCAACAAGAGGTGTTGTTGCTAGGCTTGAGCAAGCTCTTCAGCAAGATGTTGCAGGAGCAAGTCTCTTGGATCACTTGCCATTCATGTAAGTTCTCCTTCCATCACACCTTCCCAGCCAGTTAACTTTTCCCCTAGAACTGAATCACCTGAAGTTCAAGTTGTGATAGACTCTGAGAGAAAATTGAGAGAGATGGTAAACAAAGACCTGGCAGAAAAGACTGTGTTAATCATCTGGAGAGCCAAGGGTGAGAGTGGCCTACGAATAATGGAAAAGAAAATCTGAAGCAATGGCCAACCTGACTTTCATTCCAAGGTGCTATTTCTTTTCTCTTCTTATAATTACATGTTCTGACAGGTTGAAAGGGAGGATGTCATATGGGAGGCCAAACAGGTGGTGATGGAGGCATCACCTTATCCAAATTTTAACCACTATGAGACAGCCTTCAAATGGTCCAAAGGTGTACTGGACTATCACTCAGCAAAAGCTATCCTGGACAAGGGGAAGCCCCTCCAGATGCAAATGTTGCACCCTTCCTCCAACAGACTTGGATTCTGGGACTCCAAGACTCCAATGGATGTAGATATAGACATGACTTCTTGATGACGTAGATGGCATGGCATAGATAATATGAGTATTTTTAAACAAGTAATTCTTTTGATGTGGCAATGTTAAGTAAGAGCAAGGAACAAAAATCATAATGAGTAAGCTGATCAGAATGGTGGTTGATGTGTTTTGAACTTTTTGCATAGGTGCAAGTAATAGAACTGGGGAGCATCAGCAAAAGGTCATGTTCCAATGTTCCACTGAGGTGCCAATAGGCCATGAAAGGTTAGCCCCCCTTCCATGGCCAAGGTTGGTTGAACCCTTTCCACATAATTTTAGCTAGATGCTCAATTCTTATCCTAGAAGACCAATCACTTCAAATGAAATACAGGCAAAATAAATCATGTATTTCTTGTAGTACATAATACAAAGTCTGACAAGACACGAGAATGGCAGAAAAGCACAGGGCCATGGAGATGAGACTGGGATGATGGAGAATGAAAAAGATGAGAGTTGAACACACATGAATGGAAAAACTGTGAGATATTATATTGTGGGGAAGTTAGCGACACACTTCAGTCACCCATTTTTGGGTACCTATGAGGTTATCCAATTCTTTGAATTAGGGAACCTTAGTGGTACCCCATTCCAGAGTGGTATGACCCTCATACCAATTCCATCATACCATGGTATGGATGCCACATACCATTCCACCTCATACCATACCATTCCACCTCATACCATACCATACCATTCCATACCATTCCATACCATTCCATACCATACCATACCATACCATACCATACCATCATTCCATAGCTGTCACAGGGTGTCTGGGGTCCTTTTTACAAAATATGAAAATTATTTCTCCAGGCTGTAATACTGATCCATTGGGCTCCATTTTTTGTGGACTGGTTCTTCAGATTCTC